AAAAGGCATTACATTTCATATGAATCGTTGTCACAAAAACTATTTTTGGGCCAATTATCTGGTGAACCAAATAAAGGGAACAATTTTACGTTACATTTCTCAGTCTTAAAACAAAATGTAGTTATAGTTTGTCATACTTTCAGTCATTCATAAAAAAAGCTTTTAGTCTTTGAGCGTTAGGTTTATATAATTTGTTTTTTCTCTTAATTTCATTTCATTTTCAACATAATTCCGGAAAAACGTAAACCGAAATGAAAGAGAAATTAAATATTTTTTTATATACTGTATTTGTTGTTTAAATCAATGAAATGGCAGTAATTAACACAATATTATACAATAAATTAATTATTTTATTTGTTTTAATATACTTTATTTGTGAGTAAATTAATTGAGTTTTAATTTAATTTATGAGTAAAAATAGTATACAATTTGTATTACATTATCAGATACTCTATAAGTCTGAAGCACTAGAAATGCTTTCGGGAAAACATTTTTATGATTTATGAGAATTTTTTTATGTGTAAAGTAAGTGTTGAGACCAACAAAACCTTTAAGTCCTAATTTGATATACAATTACAAAGTGATAAAAGTAATGTTAAGTAATATTTGCAGTGAATTATGCAATAAAACAAAATGTGAAGTCAAATCAGACTATTTTTATTTCATTTCTCGGGAGACATATGTTATGTAATAAAATAAGTGAACATTTGCTGTGTTTTAGTTGTGTTTTCTTTTGTTATTCTCGCGATTTATGGCATCGTTTTTGTCCTCAGAAGAAAAGGATAGCTTCTCTACTGTATAGCCATTAAATGCGAGTTACAGTTGCCTACACTTGCCTACCATTCCCTACACATACAAACCATGGCATTGCCATCCCCTCTCTCATACACACATACTGTACACTACTCTCACATCCCTTTCATCGCATAACAATTTACTTATTTTCTGTTTTAACATAACATTATATAATAGTCTGTCTGTGAAATTCGGGTGTTTCTCGCTCTCTAAGAGTGCCATTAGTTGTCACACACTTTGAATACACTCTAATTTCTCTATAATCAAAATCAAATGCTATTTCCAAATGTTTGTCGCATTATTGTTGTAATGTTAACTCCAAATAAAACACGAGTTCATAGCAAACAATTGAATGGCAAATGATAACTGAAAAAAAAACATAATCCCAACGCACACTGAATAACACCATTTATTAAATTAATTTCCAAACCCAACAATTCATGACTTAGTCATCATTTTATCGGTTATACAAATCTCATCGACCCATCCGTCCTCTCATCCGATTTAATAATGTGTTCACCATTTGAACAATTATTTTCAATGTAACTTTGCATTTAATTTACTCGACTTTTTCTCGCATGAAATTCAAATGAACTCCAGTTTTATTAATAAAAACTGATGGAAAATATTGATTTATTTTCATTTTACATTTTTTTTGTTTAGTTATTATAGAAGCAATAATAGTAATAGAATTTGGGGATTAATTTGCTGTACAGTAATATATGTAATAAGTTTTCAATTCAGTGCAATTCTGTTTACTAAATCAATCCTAAACTTTTTATATTCTGTATGTTTGAATTTTATTTCATCAGACAATCTATAAGTCGATTGTCGTTAATCCCAACTAATATACAATAGATTGACTGTACATATAGTGTGCAAACTATTCTTATATATTTGTGGGAATACTATAGTTATAAATAAAATCTAAAAGTAAATATATTTGATGTAATGTGTAGGCAAACCCTTGAGGCCATTGCATTCACTTTATATTATTCTTAACTCCAATTCATATATGAATTGTGTCTTCATATTGTGTTTCCTTTCATCAAAACATATCAGAACTTAAGTCTTGAGAATTTTTTCTATAAAATACAGAATTTAGAATTTATGGCTAAATATTCTTTTAATACTGTCATCACAATCACAAATACAACTTAAATTTGATGCCAAAGCACAACAAAAATAATAGTTTGCAGGCATTAGGGATACAAGGAATGAGTCGTTGCAGAGCTCTCTACAGCACAATATAATGGAGAGAGAGAGAGAGAGAGAGAGAGAGAGAGTATGTTAAAACAGAAAATAAGTAAATTGTTATGCGATGAAAGGGATGTGAGAGTAGTGTACAGTATGTGTGTATGAGAGAGAGAGATGAATCGACAAAAACTGGAACTATTTATCAAAAACATGAACAACACTAGACTTGAGAGCAGAGGTGGGGAACGAAGGGAACGAATTTTGAGTCTAAATCCATAAAATGAAGTTTTGATAAAATCAAAAACTAATGCATACTTTCCTTCCCTTCTTTTTCCTTCATATCTGTGAATCGGATCCAGAATTTGATACGTTTTTATTCTCGAGATAAGAAATTGAATTCTTTTGCAATAATATAATGCATTCATTTGCATATCATTTGTGATAAAATATTTTTAAAAACGACACAATTTTAGTACTTTTTTGCAAATATTTACACAAACCATAACCAAAAGTGTTTTGAATTTTGTTATTTTTCTTAATTTTCAATTTCACATGATTTTAAAATATGCAAAAATATTGTGAAATATACAGATAAATATGATTTCACACATGTATCACAACATTCAGACAAGTTTTTAATTTCACAAACACTGCAATTTCAATATCCATTCGGTTTCGTGCATAACATTTAATATTAAATAATGACTTTTGCCGACAAACTAATGAAAAAAGTGTTTATTTGTATTTCAGATTAGATAAGAGTTTTATTTTAAAAGTTACCAGAAATTGAATTTTGAATGACTTTTTATGCGCGACTATTGCATTGAATGGTCGGGAAGTGTTATAATAGCCATCTGTTCAATGCATACAATTCTGGCATTCATTCAAAACTGGGAATAATAGTCACAAATACAGAGAGACGTCAAATATATCCACAAATTATCAGTGAAGCGCGCGCTCAACACAAATACTTTTTAGTCCTTTAGCTCTTAATACTGTGCCGTATATACAGTCCAAACCCATATCCAAACCCAATTAAATTAGGAATCACTCACTTTATTGCCCTATATTTTATGGCCAAATGTCATATATTATATCATATATTGTCGACTCATTTACCAAATATTTTGCTTAATATAAATGGTCCTAACGTTTAGCATAACACTAATGCAAACATACTTTCTATTAGTAATAAATTCAAAATTCTGTTTCATTTCAGATGAAATCTAATTAAATTTTCACATATTTTCATATTTATAAGACTTAAACTAAAAATATTTTTTAAAACATTTAATTAAAATCATTAGAAATGATGACAACTTTTGGCATAATCTTTGATAGAGTTCACAATTCGCACAAAGGGTTTGAATCAACGAATAGATTATAGATATGAGCAGTTTATACACAGAAACAGTGCAGTCATTTGTTATGCTATCAAACGGTTAGAACTAAATACAAGTTTCGCTGAATTTGTGCACTGATTTGGAAATGTTATTCTGATATGAGATATACAGCAATGAACTCATATTAAATCAATAAATCAAAAACAATATATCAGATCTAATGGCGATATAACTTATGTTTTAAACACACGTTTTGCACTGTATTTCACACTTTTATGTGAATGTATTATGAATTTAATTACATATAAATATTTGTATTAATGTTAAGCTTTATTATAAATTAAATACATTTAAAGAATCACTTCATATACTCATTAGATGAATAAAAATTATACATTTTCACTGAAAATGTTTTGCTTTTAAATATTATTTTCAACGTAACTATTAATTATTGCTTTAAAAGCGAGAATAATATACATTTTAAGGCATTTATTATAGTTTTATCACTGATATAAAAGTATGTTATTTTAACTAATTATGTGCAGACATTAAAAGCATTAAAATATTGCTTTTTTAGGTCTCTATTAGGCCTTTAAAATGAACATAACTTTATATTAATGAATGAATGAATTAAATAATAGTATCAAATGATTTTAATGCATAATAATTTCTATTTTATACGACAAACCGTTTTAATTAATAATATATGTAATAAAACAATGTATCAAAAGATAGGCTTTTATGTTGAAATGAAAGCAATTTTTAATGTAATTTTAGTCTATTTTTTGCAATGTTTTGGTTTGTGTAAGGATTTAGTGTAAGAATTGTTGCAAAAATAATATGAATTGAATGGAAGTTCCGAAAATCGATTTCTCTTTGAATACCCAAAAAACTATTGTATTCTAAGTTTTATTGATTTTGTTTTCTATCGGCCAATGAATGCTTAAATTAAAATTGAAATACACTTGAGTTCCCTATTCTCACATCCCTTTTGATTGAATCCAACAGATGATGAGCTCATCCTGTGTTTGTAAAGTGCTTTAGCTTTAAACACAGTAAATATAGTTAACTCTTCAAACAGGATGTTATGAAATGAGTATTTAATTGCATAAATCATTGCATTGAATCAAACGGTCGTTTTGCCGTTAAATTGCATTTGTTTTTTCCAATACAAGAATTTTATTACTTGTGTTCGACAAAACATAAATGTTTTTTCGGTTTAATATGATTTAAATATTGCATAAAATTTTTTATATAAAAAACGAGAAGAAGAGATGAGAGGGGAGAGAGAAAGAGAACATAAGAGATGATAAATTAGAAATTTAAAAGCGGTTGGTTTTGTTGAGTGAGAAAATATGAGCAAAAGTTTAGTGGAGGGGAAAAATCCCGAAACATAGAAACAGAGACTTAATTTTGTTGTGCAATGAATGCTATTTTTGATGTGAAAAAATATCAAACATTATTATTGTTGTGCAATAAAGCGATTGCCATTATTTCGCTCTTTCTTGAAGAGAGAACCGAATTTCAAGACTTCACATAACATAACAAAAAAAAGTAAAAGAAAAAACATGTGAAGAATAGACAGTTTTATCGACAGAGCACAGGGTTTTTAGTGACGCCTTCATTCATACAATCACACAATACGAGTGCCACACATATGAATGAATGGCAATGTATGCGATCCCACGGGTCGCCCCTCTTGTGCCCCCTTCGCCCGTCTCCTCTCACTTACCATATCTTACACACAAAAATCACACATATTTCGCATGCATTTCACTCACACTTTAATTCAATCTAAATATTAATCTTAAGGCAAATAAATTCCGATCATTTCTTTCTCACCTTTAAATACAAGAATATTTTTCTTTCTTTGCAATCAATTGTTGATTATAATAATATCGTCCGTAAAAGGCATTCAAAACATCAATTCCTAACCAATTGTCACTTTTTCTTCTTTCAGATACACTGAAGCCGATAATGTACTCAAACTTTGGGATTCTCTCGGATTCGCAAATTCTGAGCAATTATTAATCGTAAGTAATTTAATGAACAATTTGTTGATTATTATTATTATTATTTGCAAAAGAAGTTTAATAAAGTTTGCAATGAATTCGTGAAATATAAATGAATGAATGAAATGCTCGCATATATTAGGCGTTGAGTTATAGAGACGTTAGAATAGATGAAGAATAGGATAAACAAAACATAAAATAGTGAATCACTAATAATATGAGATAAGATGTGTTGAATGCGAGAACACTGTTATGACATTCAATCAAATGGTCAGTAGTAGTGAATTGTCGTCTGAAATATCGGTTAAGTTTATCGTAAAGAATATGAGAGGAGAGGAGAGCCAGTAATCACTGAGTCATATGCATAGCATTGGTAACACTCTTATTGACTAATACTTGAAAAAATGAGACACAAATCCGCAAAATTGTGAAACGACTGAAACGACTGCAACGCACGGAACGCAGCGTTGGTTTGCAGTCATGTCATGCGCTGTCTTTCAATGTATGCCAGATCTGCCACAACTGCCAGACACTTCTGCCAGCGCTCACCCATCGCTATACTGTATTGTATTGTACTCTATATAACATACACCGTATATACTGTATATATTTTTGGCAAAGAATGAGACCAACTCTGAAAAGCATAAGAATTATAGCAACAAAACTAATGCTTTGGTATCACTAAATGGCTCTCTCTCTCTCTCTCTCTCTCTCTCTCTCTCTCCCCGACTTCGGTGACACCACTGTGTTTGAGTAGTATTGGTGTGAGAGCTGGTGGTTGTCTGTCGCACAGGCAATGACTTTAACTTAATAATAATAAGCTTTACTTTTGGATGACATTTACATAACAATGAAAATCGTCGCTAACTTGTGTTTACGTTGTATTAGAGTATAAACTGATATAACATAACATTATTTCCAATATTAGTCTCTTTAGAATTTGACAAAACTTTCTCTAAAACTCATGAATAGAATATTTATTTCGCGAAATAATGTTTTGCCAATAGTTTTAGTGTTGAAAGTATTCATGTGTTTTGTAAGTGAGTGTCATTGCCGTACAGACACTGCACTGTATATTATTACAGAGCTTATCAGTTATTCAGTGCAGTTATCATTGAATAGTGTCTATCAGAGCACTAAAAGTATTCAAAAATTGTAATTCAATTAACAAACTTATCGTTGCTTTCAATAATACAATAAAATGAATAATTTTTTCCCGAATAATTTATTCACTCATTGGATGCAGTGTTGGCTCGGGTTTTGAGTCACTGATGTTTTTCTATGCAGTAATCAATATTGTTTGCAATAGTATTAGTTTTTTCAAGTTCACAATCCCATGACTTTTACTTCATTTCCCATTCTCTCTCTCTCTCTCTCCCCGACTTCGGTGACACCACTGTGTTTGAGTAGTATTGGTGTGAGAGCTGGTGGTTGTCTGTCGCACAGGCAATGACTTTAACTTATATTTTTTCGTTGTTTTTATGTTTTCTGAATGAGTATAAGCTCTCCCCTCCCAATCTCTCTCTCTCTCTCTCTCTTTCTCTCTCTCTCCTCTTTTATACGTTTCTCTTACATTGAATGAGACTTTTATTGATTTTTTAGCCAACCATACACTCCATGAACTCCCAGTGCAAAAGAGTGAGAGAATAAGCAGTGGATATATATTAGGATTTTGAATGAATCTCTCAATGAACAGAAGTCGAGCCCTACAGAGCCGTGCACTGAGGGGTCGACTATTCGATAACTGTTGAAATCCATATCAAACCCCCAAACAGTGCGCTAAACCATATAACTGGCGGTACTGGGAGTTACTCTTCTCTGCCTACTATTCACTCTTTATTTATATTATAAATAATAGAGAAAAATATTAAACACAAGTCTTGTATCTCTGCCTGAAGTTGTCGTTAGTTTGTAATCGACTGACTTTTTGTTAACTTATTATAACTATAACAACACTTAACACAACATTTTTAGTGTGTATTGAAACTCGAAAAATATCCCCAAATGACAGCCTTAATGGTGTAGATATCAAACAATAGTTGTGTTCAAAGATTTATGTTTATTTCAATCAACCAAATCCAGAGAAAATCAATGACCTGTTCTCTCCATTGCATACAGTATATCAAGCATTTTCCACAATTCAAACTTTAATTCAACATTTATTCAAATTAATTGTTTTATCTTAACATTAATTCAACTTTTATTTCGCCATTCAATGAGAAAATAAAGAGAATTTATTGTTTTTTATTGTCTTTTGATTGGAAATAAATATTTGCCAAATTCTTTAGTCTTAATGATAATATTTATTCAACTAATTATTTACTATTATTTGTCATTATTTTGAATTCAAAATTAGAGAAGATGTTGCCATTAGAGGAAAGCATTTATCATAATATGTTTTAAAGGTTTTTCTCTATCAGATAATAATTTGACACTTTATAACACGAGGAGTAATGGCAATAATGGCTGTAATGGAGGAGGAATGGAGCGAATGGTAGTCCCACTAAAATAGAGATGATATGAGTGTTGAAGTGTTTGCTCTGTAGGCAGTAATGTAGTCAAAGTGCAACTTCTTGTTCGCTATTATTTTGAATATACTGTATATAAAGTATACAACATATACAGTATATATATCGCACTTATTATAGGTTTTGCGGCAAATCTATGAGAAGAGTGCATAGAAGTGGTGAACCTCTGGCTTATGATAAATGTTAGCTATAATAAAGAGACAGGCGTTCAATAGAAAAGACCATCTGATGAGAAACAAAGAGCATAGCTTTTTTGCCATCAAAACAAAATTTATTGCTTCGATATCTTGAAAATTCATCTAAAATGTTGTCGTTTAAAGACATATCACATACAGAACCGATGCCTTCTATTTTGGTTTCGGTATAGCATTTGTTTGACTCTCCATTCAATACTTAATGCATAAGAAATGAACCCTTATTTAAGAGCAAAAGGAATAATATATCGAAATCAATTAAATGGACGAGAAGTACGGTATCCCAGAAGTCAATTTACCCAATCATCCAAACAAAGACTTAATTATCATTTTCTTAAAAGCACTCAAATCTTCTCTAAATACTAGAGATTGTGATTACAATAAAAGTCCGTTTGATTTATTCTGACAACTATTACAGCATTCCTGTGGAATAAATATTTGTTAAATAAAATGAAATTATAATGAATTTGCAAATAATTGCCTCTTTTATTCAATAACAAACGTAATGAATGTTTAATTTATTTATAGATACAAAATATTTAATCATTCATTTTAAAGTTTTTGGACTAAATTGAGTGTCAATTTTACTTTTAAAAAACTAAATTTGAATTTATAATACATGAATTAAAATAATTGAAGCCAGTATTTGCATAATGCTTCATATCATACAATATTAGTCAACAAATATAATACAACTCAAATTTTTTATTATATCGAGTTTATGGAGGAAATGATGGAAACAAAAATAAAGACTTTGGTTTGGACTCAAAACCAGACCTAAGTTTCCGGTGAACTTGAAAAGGGAAAGACCCGTCGCTTTATATTTCCTTATGAAAGACCACATACTATACAATATAATGAGTGTATAATTTTTTATCATACTTTCATGTATATGTATTTAATGTTAAATGCAAAGACATGGCTGAGGGCACACAAACACCACAAATATTGATTAAATGTGTAAACTGTGAGAATTTTTATTGCAAAATCAAATACCATTATCACTATTTAGTTATTCATAAGAATAATATATAGTATATAAATATTAATAATTGATAATCAAGTGGTTGTTTGTTAAGCTAAAGTTGATATTAAAGCTGGTATTCTGTAATGATTTATAAGTAAGGAAAAGAAATAATTATATTAATTGTTAGGAAAGATAGTAAATGTCTAATAATAACACGAATAGCAATGTTGTGTCTGTTTTGACCCATTTTTCGATAACTGAATTTCTGGCGTTTGTTTGCAATTCACTGCAAAAACATTTCAAATATATTCTTCCCAAAAATTCTTGACATTTTGATTGAAACGAATTCCTTTGAATAAACGAAATGCTCTTATATTCTGTATATTCACTGATATTTTATAATTAAATGCAAAAAAATATTTGTATTGATATGAAAGGCACAAAAAACTGTTGACATTTAATATTCTAATGAATTGCATATAAACTACAGAATTGTAAAGAATTGAACAAAAAAACTAATTTTAAAAGAAATTGTTTTTCTATTGATTTATAATATACTATACTTAACGGCAAAGAAGGGGTTCTCTCTTCGGAGATAAAAATACAATTTCCTTAAACATTACTATAATTATTAAAATATCTATTTATTGTGTGTTTCACTATATTTCTAAAAAATAGTCATAATTTATGAGTTAATTATTGATCATATGATTATTATAATAACAACAAATATTTAGATTAATATTGACTTAATTAATACATAAAAATAGACAACTTCTCATTTAACGAGATTAGTTTTGGCCTAATTTTGAGTCCAATATGAAAATAATACATTAACATTATGCATAATTTAGTGTTAAATCACATTTATAAGCTCAATGTTGATTGCACATTAAAATCTCATTTTTTCACTTATTAAATACATTTTGTGTTAAATACATGTTTATATCTTTATTTTAAAGTCGTTTAAAAACAATTTGTGAAAAACTCTTAACATTAGACCTGAATATATGAACAATAGATGAAGAGTCGCTCCATTATCTTAAAATAGAGTACATGTTAACCAAATGGCTATAAATACTAATGGCTCGACTCCTTTGTGGTTAATGTGACTCCAGAGTCAACTCAATAAATGTCTAATGAATGCATTGAATACAATTTAAAACATGACTTTTTATGCAATCGAAATGCAAATTTATTTTTCAATGAGTATAACTGCCCTTAAATTCATTAAAATTACTTATTAATGTATTTATAGTGTAGTTATAGTTTACAATCAGTTGAGTGTTGTCTTCACCCATAATGAAGAAAGGGATTCAATTCAAGTGCCGGAATATACAGTAGAGAGTATTGTTAGAAAGTGTAGCAAATGATGAATAAAGCGTTTCATTTGCTTTCCCAGAATTTTCATTATTTATTACAAAAGAATTTTAGTTTCAGATAATTCTCAGTCAAATGAGTAAAGCTTTTAATTTCTTATAAATAATTTCAGACATTTATATATTAAGCTCTGAAATAAAAACAAAGCCCAATATCGAGCTTAAAATGTAATCACTTTTATCACAATAGAGAGGCATTGAGTAAATAAAACGGTATTATATGTGAGATATTTAGAGCATAATATAAAGTAAAGCAAAAATAAAGTTTATAAAAACTAAAGCGATTCTGTTTTGACGCCTTTCGGCTAAATATTGGACTTTATTTTAAAAATTTGTTTCTCTTGTGAACAGAATTTAGGATTTAATTCCAAACTGAAAGTCAATGTTCAGGAGTTGTCGACTGTTTTGGAGGAGAGACTGTGCGCTCCAAACACTACTAATCCGGAACTCTTTCAGGTAATCAAATGCAATGAAATACAATATATTAGAAACTAAAACACTGTTACGACTGGATATATATTCCTTGAATAACACATTAACCCCAAAAACAGATATCTTTGGCCACTTTCCAGAATGAATTGACTCAAACCAAGTGAGTATACTTTACAATAAACAACAAAAAAGACATTATATTTTTCTTTTCCTCACACTTATTGAATATTTTAGTTTTTCACTGATTTTTCAATTCTAAACAATTCCTTTCGCTTTTATATATCAAACATAAAGTCGTTATATAATGTAAAATAGTAGTGAAAATATAAAGAATGAGAACATAGGGCGTCGGCTCAACACAAAACAGTTGTAATTTATTTCTGTAGTCGATATGACACTGGATTCAAGTGCCAGTGTTTTTTTTATGAATAATGCACTTTTGAGAGAATTTCATTAATATTGCATGAGATCTAAGTTATGAACTCTTTTTATAACACAATATAAAACTCTTTTTCAATATATAACACATCAAAAAAAGTTTTATATATAAAAAGATAGTCTTATATATTGGATAATGTTTTATAGGATTAATTACGAGCACATCAACGATGAAAGGAATAGACTTCGGATCACTATTTGTGAGGCAAATACAAGAGCAGACTTATTAGCACAAGAAGTGGACGACCAAAACGCCAAACTCGAGGCCTCCTCTCACAACAAACTCATGTAAGTCTGGATTCAATTGCACACCAAATAAGCAAAACCTTATTTTGGCTGCACTTCAAGAAGAAAAAACGCTAACAATTACTGCAATATTTGCCTCAAAAACAGTCTTTTGGAGAAGAAATATAACGAACAAATACGAGGGCTTCAGGAAGAGCTTCAACGGGAAAGGGAGACAATGGATAAGCAGTCGTTATGCTTAAGAGAAGACATTAGCAAAGAGTTGTCGACAGCACAGGAACAGTCATCCCGGTTGAGGGAAAAGATACTTGTCTTACAGCAGGTATTGTGTGATCGACAAAAATTGTTACTTATTTTACGCCATTCTTATTGAATGAGACATTTTTATGAATAAAAAGTCACAATATTTTGAAATGCAATAAATCTCTTCAGGAAAACAAACGCCTCGAAAATGAAGTCCAATCCGTGAACTCAAAACACTTAGAATTGCAAAAATCTTTCATCGATTCACACAAAAGGCTCGACGAGACCGAGATTTTGAGGAAAAAAGTAAATATAATATTTTATTATTATTGCTGGCAATCATATTGTGTTACTTAGCATTGATTTCTGCAAATTATGTACAACTCTAAAGAATGAGAATATATTTTATACACAAATGTAATGCAAATTAAATTCCAATACTATTAAAGAGATATTAGGAGAAAATGTAGCGATAATATTGAATAGTTGTAATACTTATGCACTTAAAAGTCATTTGAGTTTTCATTTAAGTGTTCAAAGTGTTTAAAGAAATGTGTTATTTATTCAAGTTTTTCTTCCAAACCATGTCTTCTCATATCGTGTCTTACATTTGCATTACTATTATATCTTTTAAAATCTTGTATTATTATAATATCTATTAATGAAGACAACTATAATATACAATATATTTTTCAGCACACATTCAGTACAGACTCCAGTCATTTGTATTAAAGAGCTTTAAAAAGGAAACTTTTTACGGAATTTTTTTCTCAAAGCCTACATTAACGTGAAAGAAAACTAGTGAAACACATTTTATTATCCCATTATTATCTATATTATATAAATACCTGTATTTACTGCATATCTTTAATATCTTTAGATAATATTAAAAAATCGATAAAAATTCAAATGTTTATGTATATTAAGGCGAAACAAAGATAAATTGCAAAAATGAATTTCAAGGCATTTGTTGGTATAATGCAAATAAAATGCTTTTAATATATCATCCAATATTGTATTTATAAATGTATTTTACATTGAAATCAGTATATTTGAAAAGAAAAAGCTTAAAGTCTGAATATAATGCAAATCTAATCCAACCATTCGTTTGATGGCACATGAAATGAGTTAAGAAAGAAAATGGGAAAACTTGGGCAACAATAAAGTGATACTATTTTGTTGAAAGTCTTTTTATTAATCGCTAGAGTGTAATGAAATGGTTACTCAACTCTATATAATAATTAAAAGAAACCCTTATTTGAAAGCTTTTTTAAAAAGAAAAGTCAATAATAGACCAAATGTTGAAAACATTTAAATTAATAGAAATCTAATTTAAAGAGAATTTAGATTTATTCTTATGTATGTATTTTAGAGGCATATTTGCATATAAATTGAATTTTGAGTCCTTAAAGGGGCACTTCGTATGATATATTATGTGCTAAAGTGTTGTCTCTGTTAATGACAGTACAGATAATGTACTAATATTAAGATACAAATAGCAATAAGAGTAATATTGTATGTAATTCTCGAAAATACAAGTTTATCCCAACGGTATAATCGATTTGTTATAGTGTTATAGCGTTGTAGTCGTAGAATATCTTTAATTATTATGAATTTTGGGCCAAAATATCATTTATTATTGGATTTTATGTTCTCATAGCTCACAGAATTAGAGTCAATGCAAGGCTTAGTGAGTGAAGAGCACTACCAAGAAATCGATTCATTGAAAGCACAAAATAAGGTGAGATATACTCCACTACTTGTCGTCCTCTCCTCTTTCATATCACATACCATAAGAAGTCAATTGAAAACTGATGTAAATTCATAATAAAAGGGAATACAAGACCAAAACGATGAGTTGATTTTGCAAATGGAAACTCTGAAACAACAAATACAACAAATTTCAATACATCGCCAAAACGGCAAAAAGTCTAAAACGAGTAGAAGAGTGACAAACCAGAGAAAGAGCAGGTCTTGGCTTTCAGATTACATACAATCGGTTGGTGTCGAAGAATTGGACAACAATTCTAACAACAAATCTGTCGTCGCTTTCAACTTAAAAAGAAGAGGAAATGATTCCACTTCTTCTGGTAATCAACTCTCAAAATAGTCGTTAACAGACAAGAGATTTATTTCTTTAATCTTTTATATATATTTTTATATATAATCAGATGAGACTGAAGACGACGACTGTTCACCAATTGGTAGGACTAAGCGAATGGTTTTATCAGCAAAAACTGACTCAGATTTGGGTACAACTTCTCAATCACTAAATCAATACTACTCTTAGGATTAGATATATTTCACTCTTATATATATCACTAAATGTTGAACTCATTTAGTATTTGCTTTCAAAACTGATATCCGGTTTCCCAACAGATAATAGTTTGGATGAAGAATATGGAGAGTCGATGAGTCAAAACAATGAGTTGGTCTCAGAGGGGACTCTCCTTAAGGAAATTGATGGACTCAGACATCAATTAAGTACACAAATTGGTCCAACAGATCATAATATGATTGTCGATCGCAATGAGTCTGTCCTTCAAATGCAACACTTCTACGAAAAGGCTTTACATAACAAAGAAGTTAATCTTAAGGAACAAATGGAAGTTAATTCCAATTTAAACGCAACCCTTAAGGAACTCAAGGAAAGACATGTGAATGAAATCAATGGCCTTAAGCAATATCTGCACAAAAATATCTCACAAATTCTTCATCATTTTGTCAATTCTTCAATTTCTTATGCATTTAGCGATGAAATTGAAAACAATTCATACAAACAAATAAGAAATTCATTTTCCAAATGCATTTTCAAGTCAATCATTGATTTTGTCTTAGAATCAGACGATTTAGATCTCAACATTAATCGCGAAACTCTCGATACTCTCATACAATCACTAAACGAGCACTTAATTGATGCCTTCAATAGATCTAACGATGGATTAGAAGTCACACATCGGAAGACTTATAAAGGATTGAATCGAAGTCATAGAGAATACAGAGAAAGAGGTTAAAAATTTACGACTTTTCCTCTCTTTATGTGTTCAATATTTTGCTCACATTTTATTTCGCTTCCGTAGATGTGAACCAATCTTCTACTCTCAAAGATGTGTCACAAAGACATGGATCTACTCATGAGAAGGTACTTAATTGAAAATTAATAACCAATAAATTATCAATTTGTGTATTCTTCACATATTTATCAAATATTTGTATTGATTTTAAAATCACGTTTTATTACTCACATAGAAATCAATGAATATCTCAAACAAGAGTTCTGGTGATATGTTATCAGCAGTGAGTGAACTCCGTTTACAAAACTCTCATCTCATTAAAGAAATTCAATTAAGTGATGAACAGAAACGAAAGATTGAAAAAGAAAACTCGAGATTACATTATAAATGCAAAGTCTTAAGCAAATTGTTGTCTGAGATAAGCAATGGGACATGAAATCAAGACATACCTCGTTATCATTAAGTCATTGGTTATAATTCTCATTTAATATCTGTAATTAAGGCATACATTCTCTCAAATTCTTGAGATTTCATTAATTTTCATATTCATATCTAATTTGTATCTAATTTTATGCATTTTCAAACTTAAACCGGGTATTCATTAACCAAATCAAAAATACTAGTGATTTAATTATATTAAACCGAATTAAAATCAAACATTACTTTTAATTTGATATTTTTTGCTTATAGTAACTGATATTCGGATTAAATAATATTTTATTTTTTGTAATTTTTTAATGAAATATTTATTTAAATTCTCAAAAATATGATAAATTTAAAACAAAACAAAAAATCTGTAAAATTATTCCCAATGTAAACAACACTTGTTTTAATTTCACCATAATTACCATAAAAATGTTGATTCATTTGAAGTTGTTTTACAAGATTTTAATGAATTTATGAAATTTTGAATTAAAATTGAATTGAAATTAATTTTATCTTTATTTATTTATTTCTAGAATTGACAACAATTTTAGCACAAAAATAATTATATTTTAATATAAATTTTAACACTTAATTAAAAATATTCTTTAAATATGTAAAGCTTTATAATGAGGATTAAATTGAAAATGAACATGTTACAAGTTTGTATAATATCTTGAAATACATTTTCTTCAATTGTATAAATCTCTTAATCAGTAAATTCAGTCACAAATTAATGTAATTACAATTCAATGTCTGTCCACTCTTTCTATGTTCATAATTGTAATGCACTTGAGGTTAAACACAGAGAAAAGTCACAAGAATTCACTGTAATTACAATTCAATCTCAATTCGCAAGATTTAGGCAACTCTTTAAGTAAACGGTTTAGAGAATAGAAATATCTTCATTGAAAATAAATTTATCACAAAATAAGCAGTAAATTGAGACAAAGGCTAAGCAAAAGCTATATATAGAGAAGAAGCGGTCAATAATTATCGCATTTATAGCAATAAATAGTGGATAGAAAGAGGTTTCCTTCAATTGTCATCAAATTACGTGATTTGAGTTCACATTTACTTTAATTAGCGACTGATTTGTCTATCGCTTAGCAATACATCACTCTCTCGACGAACTGAAAGGCAGACAATAATTTAATGTTAAAATTAATTGTATTTAGAAATAATTTCAAACAATTGATAACTCACTTCTTCGAGAGTAAAACTAGTGTCGTTTTGGGTGGCAGTCGGTGGGTATCTTCCGCTGGCAAATGGCAGGATCTTAGACGGAGTTGTAGTCGAAGGTGTTTGGATTGTCTTTGACTTTGAGTTCCAGTTGTCGATTGAATGTTTCAATTTCATCGACGCGTGAATAAAATCATCAAAAGTCAGACCTTTTTCTTTCTTTACATTTACGACACCGTATCTAAGGATCAGAATCTCGAGTATATGTCGGTTAACGTTGAGTCCGACCTCATGAAAGGCTGCCCTCAATTCATGTGCAGATATAATGTTATTGCCGTCGGAGTCGTGTTTCTTGAAGACCGCACACCACTGCCGGATGTTTCGCCAAAGTTGAGTGAATTCATTGAAACTTAGTTTGCCTTTACATGTCATATACAATGAAAAGAGTTAGCCATCAAAATGATTGATCAGTGACTTTAATATGACATTCAATTCATATGATAATCGACAGAAAGAGACTATAACTGACCGGTTCTGTCGTCGTCTAACATAGCAATCATTGATTTACACGAATCCAATGAAAAGCCATCAAATTTAAACTCTAAATAAAGTTTAAAATGTTATTATAATTCTGTAAATAAATTTTACAACTCTTATAAAACATTAAATATTAATACATTGAAAACATTTAAAACTTGACAATTAATATTTTACAATACTTTAAAAATTTAAAAATAATACAAGAAGTTAAATTTGATAATAAATACTAAACAAAAATATTCGAGTCGTTAAAAAAAGATCGATAAGTGAACAAACAATTGTGAAAAAGAGTTTAATTATAGATTTAGTGTTTTGTGAACAACACTCACCCGAAAAGACTGGTTAATAATGGAAAGCCAAGCAAACAAATGGTTAAACAAAGTTATAGTCAACAAACTATTAGTGAGTTTTAATTATAAATATTTAATACCTTTTTTCAACGCGTGATTCATTATATCCTGCAGTTCTTTGGCGTCCACTTCCATGTCTTCGCCTATTATTAAAGTGACAAATGTATACAAAATAAATGACAGATAAGTGAAGGGATGACAGACCGGCCAGTTTGGTGAAGAAGGCATTGATTTGCGACTCCGACTCTTTCGCGCGGTTTTGTGCAACGGATTCACTCTTAAAAATGCATTAAAACTAAATTAATATTGCTTTAAACAAAATGTAATATTGCATAAAAAAGTGTCATAAAATTAGTGTTAATACTGTAATAGACTAATTGTTATATTATTAAAGATTAATATTTTAGTTACAATACTTAAGAAATGAATGGTAGAAATCAAACAGAATTAGTGAATATAAAACATTCCCATTAATGAGTGAACGATGAAATAATTCATGCAGTTTTCATGCCATAAGTCAAACCATTAGTGAAATATTAGAGAAACAAAAGTTTTGAATCAGAAATCAAACAAAACGAACCACTTCTCGGTTATTGAAAAGAGTCCAACAGTTTGAAAGTATATTAATTACTGACAAAATAGTGTGAATCACATCAACATTATTCTCATTGTTTGCAACATTATTATCGTTGGGTTCCGACTCTTTTGGCTCATTATCAGCGACCAAATTATCGGAAACCTATTAATTAAGTCAATCATAAACCAAATCCAATGTTGAGGTTAACGTAAAATTAACAAATATTAGGACAAATGGTATTTTCGTTATATTTCAGGAATATTAAATCATTCATAAATAAAATACAACAAAACATCAACAAATCATATCAACACAATTGATAACCCATGGTTTGTATCCATTGAATACATACTCCGTTTGTTTTGCCCGCGTTATCATCAACTAAACCAATTTCTTCATCATTTTCGGTCACACTTTGAGGCGCTTTTTCAGTATAGAATCGAATCAAGAACTCCCCTTCTTCACCAGGGTCAAATGAAGACGGAATTATACAGTATTTGCCTTAATATACAATGCATTTCAAGAATTAACATAAAAGCTAATGATGTGAACGAGAAGAGCAAACCTGGTTTAAGTCGGAACCTTCCGGAGACTTCTCTGAGATTGACAAAAGTGGGCGAACGCGCGACCGATTGGTTATACTTGAAGTACTCGGTTGACAGCAATTGTTGGCACGAATTTCGTTCAAATCTATTATTATATGCAATATATTAGACTAAATGACTGCCAATCCGTATGAGACATACTTAGACTCGTATTTAGGGCCGCCATCGGTGTGGCCCTCTTTCACCTCATAAATGGCAAAACCGACGGTAAGGCTATCGGAACCCATCTTTCTCTTCAATCTGTGATTCTTCTGCATAAGCGCCACAACACACGTGCCTTCAATACAACGATATTATTGAATTGTGTGATTGATTTGATATTTAAATAAAATATATTACAGGTGTCTTCATCATCATCTTCATCATGGTCAACCAATGTAATCAAATATTGAGGATTTAAATGAAAAGTTTGCAAATGATTTCTGCAGCCGCCGGCGCTTATCTATTGTGACAACATTTGTAACAATCAATATGAAATGTCATGACATAGTATGTACTGTAATGAACTTACGCCCCGAACCCATGAGCCTTCGAAGTAAGACACTTCCCAATGACGCTTATTGTCTATAATGAATACGAATATTATTGTCAGAATAATATTCAAAACAAATATATTTTTTTCAAACCTTCTCCGAGTGAATCGGGGGAAAGGTTGCAGATTTCAAGTCGTGTGAAATTGTTTTTAAAGTCCGTAAACGATATCCAAAACTCTCCGTCGGCGTCAAAAGTGAGTCCCAGCAGCTGTTTCTCGCGCTCCGGAACTACAGTCCATTCGCGTGATCTGAATAATGATAAGAAATGCAATTTATTAATTTACCACCCAATATTAAATTGCTATCGGATGAGCCATACTTATCACTCCAGGCGCCCTTCCATTCGGCTTCATTACCCCATGGGTTCCGAACCCGAATCAAAGGTATCTTTCCTTTGACTTTGGATGTGCTTAACTGCACTAACTTTATAGCAGTCACCGAATAGGCGTGTCCTCTAATCAAACCTATTTCGTGTCAATTAAATGATTAATATATTTAATAACAAATGGACTGCTTTTATGATTCAAACCATTAGACATTTCCGCTTCCATTTGTGAGGAATCGAGCGCTTCAATAGAGCAGCCGAGGAATGACGAGCGCTCGAAGGCCTTCAACATTATATTCAACAAATTGGGCGGACATTCGTTGGACTGGAGCTCAAAATTCTCGGTCAAACCCCCCGTAAAGTCTTCCATGGCTTCGCTGGTTGTGCCGCCTTTGAGCGCTTCATATGAACCGTGGAGTCTATTCAACGTATTTTATAAAATAAGTTTTTACAAGTTTTTTAGTTCTAAAAGTATTGACTACTTTGCATAAGCCTTTTCAATTAAAGCGCTCCAAAACTCGTGTCTATCCTTTGAGTGCATAAGCATTAAGTGTCCGTCAATTGTGGGCAGTTTATCGTCGATCACAACGTCCACCCAATGGCCGTATTGCCAGAAACGGAAGTGAAATATACCTAAAATGGTGTAAAATTCTATTAATAACCAGTTTATTGATGTAGCGACAGATAATATAAGTGGAGACCGTTTATAACCTGCATATTCTGGCGCCTCAAATGTCTGGTCGTGGGGAACCACCCGATGGAACAGCTTTTCGTTTAACGTCAAGTTAGCGACAGCTGTGAACATCAATTTCATTCAAATTAATAATATATAAAAATAATTCGATTCATTATAAGGCAAATATGATTTAATACCGGCTAAAAGCCAGCAGTTTCCCAGTTCTCCCTGCATGACATCGAAACGTTGAGCGCCTGTATTGGTTTCAAATATGGGTTAAAGTATATACTGTATAAAGCATTTTAAATGAGATGTACTGACCATCGCTGATGAACATGGGTTTACTGGACAGTTGTGAGGGTCGGAGCCATTGGAAAGATCGGCGACCCTTTCCGGCAGCGAAATAAAAGGACGAGTCGTTTGCGGGAAAGGCGTCGTCTTCGAAGAGAACCCCATCTCTTAAACACTTGTCTCTTATCTCATAAAAGTCCTGTACTTTTCCCGGAATTTTAATTCCAGACTTTCTCTCTCCTAACTGTCAATACAATTACATATTGTGTGAAATTGAGAGAAATATTGAACCTTATATACCTTATACATGTTTAAATACACGAATAAAACAGTTATTGTGTTAACAGTAGTTTGTTTAACAAATATTTACACAAAACATAACATTCAAACATTGAGTGAAATATATTAAGACATTTACTCATTATGATATTTATAAATTATAAAATATATTTACTTTAACATGACTATAACGACAGTCCATTATATTGTTAAATCACAACTAAATAAGTTTCAAATCAAATAAACTTTAGATCTACAAAAACCTCTCTTATCTTAGTAATTAAATTATCTTAGTAATCTATAGTAATTAAAAAAGAGTACGAAATTGAATATACAGTAGAAGTGGTATAAAAGAAATTTCATTAAAAGTAAAATATTGTTTGCAAAATGTTTGCCACCAAATGAGTGACTGTTTATTTTAAGTCTATCATTATAATTATGAGCAATATTTTTGAAACATTTGCTAAATAAATGGATTTAATGAATACAAACAGTTATGATATGTGGGAAACAGATGTCATTTTATGGAAATATATTATTACAACAAATAAATATTTATCTAATGATTTAATATATTTATGGCTAATACTTAATATACAATGTATTTGACTTTCACTCAAAAGTCTTAATACGAATCCTTTATCTAATCTATGATTACTGTTATGTCATTTAATTAATTGATTCAATATATGGGTGTTTCCATATACCAGTCATTTTAATGGATTTATTGATAAGCATGATCATTTATCAAGTTTACGTACACTATTCAAAGACTATTATTTAGTAAATAAAATAAAATAATTCACCCAATATCATTTTTGTATTAAATATTTGATATAATTTGAGTTAATATTAGTATACCTTATAGAAGACGGGTTCAGACATTGTCTCGATTATACAATTAGTGAATCGGTTAACAAATTTAATTATTTATATGATTATTAGTTTTAAAGCCAAACCAATGCCAAAACTTTGGTTCGAATAACAATTTTCGTATTTATTATAAGTTTTCGTATCGACCGCTCAATTATCCAATCGTCTGATAGAAAAAAGCATTAAAATTGTGTTATTTTATTAAATGCCATAAAATGTTAGTAAAGCTACACTAAAATCATATAATAGTTGGATATTATAAGCAATAATACCTCACTATTAAGGAATTTATCGTTTTATTACACGTTTTAATAATTGTTTAGAAAATAAATAATTAATAATTTAGAAAATATTGAAAAACATGAGTGAAAGTGGTTTTCAAATGAATGCAATATTCATTGACAGGGAATATGAGAATAGGATTAACAATACATTAGAAACTATAAGATTATTACAATTATTATAATAACAATTAGAATATAATGAATATAATGTGTGAAAACATTTCTGTTTAATGAAATTTTGCGTCAAAACAAATGAAAAGACCGAAAGAATTACTGTATGTTATGATAGAAATGGGCGGAGGAATGAAGTCATGAATACCGCATAGAGAGAGAGAGGGAGAGAGAGCACAAGCACTACATGTTTTGCTCATGTCTTCAAAGTTTACGAAAAATAATGTTTGAAATGTTTGAGAGATAGAGAGGAATGAAAGGCGAGGGAAGGGAACCAATGCTTACGAGTTTGCGATAAACCTTTGAAGACATGTTCATTGATAACAAATAACGCGATTTATTTTTGTTGAGATGTTTTCAGAAGTTTAGATCATTATTATTAATATACAAGACTTTTATCTTATTTCTCAATAACAAGTTTTTGAGGTTTTGAGGCAAAAACATATATCCGTTTGATTTATGCCTTATATTATTTTTGGCCACTTTTATACTTAACACTTTGATTTACACGTTAAATAACTTTATTTTGAAATTAATTTTTTAAATAGTAATTAAACTTTAATTTAGAGACAGTTTTAAAATGTTTGATAAAATAATGATTGGTTTGATTGAGAAACAGTTTTGTATTTTCTTTATTTAAACACAACAGTAATAATGATTACTGAAATAGATTGCAATTCAGACAATATGTTGAGTCGATCGGAGGTTTTGGTGCACAAGAAAGAAATCATTGAAGACTTGTTTGCCTTGACTTCTCTCTCAACATAACCCCTGCAATGCATTTGTCAAACAAAACTAAACATTACTTTTTTCAATAACGCTATAAATATTGAGAAATACCATGAGTTTTGATAACAATTTTACCAATATAAAATATAGTCATTAGATTTTGTTTTATTTTAAACATATTTTATGGCTTTATTTAATTAATATTGCATTTTAAAACAAAATAGTGTTTAAATATTGCAAATTATACCTATCAATGAAAACTTTGTTTCAATTAAACTTTTAATTGTTTATATTAAAAATAACATTTAAAATTAAAATTACATATTATAAAAACATATTAAAATAACACTTTTAATAAATTTTTATTTTTCCGGTTTAACTCTTACTTTAACTTTAAATAATAATTGAAGATTAATAAATGAAATATTAAGTGCGGATTTATTTTTACTTTTTAAAGTTATTATGCGATATAATTAAACGCCTGATTAATGATTTTAATATGAATTTCATTTTGTATTAATTATATTATTTTATAAATAAGTTTATATTAAAAGATTAATTAACGATAAGATAGAGAAAAAGGAAGCAAACAATTAAATTATAAACAATAAATAATAAACTATTTAAACAATAATTTAATTATTTAGAGTAACTTATCTGAAAAGATAGGAAATACAACTTTACACATAAATTCACCAATAATTATGCTGTGAATGAATTAATTACTGTTTTGCTATTATTATTAGTAAAACTTAACTAAAAACCTTTATTACAATAATTATTTGATTCAAAATAAATACTTTACAAAAAATATAAGTTTAGTGAGAATATTGTGTTGCTATGATATTTTTGTATTCGTTGAATACCTAATCATTTTCATATTTAATTGCATTTGTTTTTTAAGACTATGAGTAAATTTAAAAAAAACTGTGATTAATTGCATAATTACTGTATATATTTTTAATGAATCATTAATAAAACATTAAATATCAAATATTACAGATATTAAAATAACTGTTATATTGAATATTCATACTGTACTAATAATATATAAAATGATAGTAATTTAATATTCAAATTGATTGTCATTTATAACTTAATAGATTCTTTGATGGGAAATATTTAATATAATTAGGATTATATCATAATAAAATATTCGTTTTAATAAATATTTAAATAATGTAAAAAGTCTTTAAATATAGAAATAGAGTATATTAATAATTTATAAATTAAAGTCTGATATATTTTTCATAAATGTCGTACCATTTAAAATTAATGTTACATTTTTATATGCTGTAGAATCTAACCATATTGTGGACGTCTATAAAAAGTTTAAATATAAAAGTATAAAATTTATACTTTACAGTAAATTATTATAACAATTTTGTTGTTTTAAAATGGATATAGATAAGAATATTGAACTAATTTTGCCGCTTAATTATTTGCCACCTTATTGAAACCAAAAAATCAAGTTTATAAATACTCATTTAATGTGATATAAACGCAAATTCAAAGCTTTTTACTATAAAAACAGTTAATAATAATTGAAATACATTTTGTAAATCAAATTGTTTTAGTTAATTATGTTCTCAATATATCTTATAGTAAAGGGTTTGGCATTTCATTAAGCAATTATATAACTAATATTAATTGTGATATTTATTTGTTAATTTATTTTACTGCAAACTATAATTCAAAAATGTGACAAAAATGTTTAAATAATTTAATTTGAAAATTTAAAAAATTATAATTGATAATCATTTTTCACATATTTTGAACAAATAAGTTTTGATTATTTTTTTGTGTTTAAATTCAATGAATAAAAGTGATTGATATTTTGTTTTAATAAAATCATTATAAACATTAAAAGTTTTAATAATTTTCACATTAATGTTTTATTTGAAATCATTGAAAAACCCAAAAAATTTATTGAGACAAACTATTTGAATAGAAAATGCATAAAATTGTCAAAAATGTTAAAAACTAGATTAAAATTGTGATAAACAAATAATAAATCCTTAATTCAAATTAATTTTTGATTACAGATATATCTTACAGATTATTATATAAATTATTTGAATTGAATTAACATTTAATACCATTTATATAATAAATATTGCCATTTATAACACTATTTGCATCATTTAATTTCACAATTAGAAAGTTCGGTCATAAATATGATATTAAGTATTATTTATTGAAATATATTAATCCATTAAAAATTAAGCATTATTTTAGTTACAATCTAAAAATGGTTATAAATTTGAAAAGCGAGTAATTCTCTTGTCGTATAAACGTGTTTAATTTGGTTATCTTTACAGCAATTTTTAGTACATCTTAAATGTTGTATAAAATTATTGTGCGATAATCTAAACGTTAATTAATTGCAATGCTTTTGAACTACTTTGCGAGCATCTGCACCCATAAGGTGAATTGGTATTTTATTGCTTGTGATATTAAAAATATAAATTAAACGACTCTTACTTTTAGATAAATATCTGAATTAAACGGCTTATTCTCCAGTGAATGAACAGATTGTTTCCAAAAGGGTTGTGTAATCATGAAGTCGTTGTGAACGTCTCTATTCCTTGTGTCAACTTTCAAAATAATGTCCTCCTCTTTCATAACACAGACCTTTAAGTCACGTCTTCCCGAATCCATTTCCTTCCGATCGGACGAGCATTTCGTACAATCGGACACTTGATTACCCATTGAATTAATTTGTGATTTTTGGTCAATTGCGGGACAAATCTAAACAATTTGAAACCAAACCACACCCTGAGCTCTAAGATCTAAATATACTTGTATTTTAATGCACTTTCTTTCTCGTGTCATCCCTTGAGTGCATTCATAAGACATTTCATTCATTTTCTTGTAATTCTATAAATAAATTTAGAGTTAAGCGATTCAATGATTCGCACGTCTATTATATAAACAAAATTCATCACTACTTTATATATTGGGTTTCTAAACAAATAATCAAAACTTTTTTTAAAGAGTAAAACGATTATATTTTAGTTCATTCCAATAGTTCTAATAATTAAGCAAAAATTTGTGAAAATAAATAAATTTGGCAATTTAGCAAAGAGGTGATTTCACGGATTGTTTTATCTTGATTCATCATTAATAATTATAACAACATTTATAACTATAATTTACTATTGTTATGTTATTGTAATTATTTTGTTTATATTACTTCTACTTTTATGCAATATTTTCTAACTTTACTAAACATTTAATTTGTAGTAAATACAGAATTATTATTTGTATTAAACGTTTAATTAAATAGTTTTTATCTATAAATAACTAATAAAAATAACTAAATTTAATACGTTGTCTTACCAATAAATAATCAACAATTATAATTTTATTTAACTTAATTATTTTAATACAATGAAAACTTTTTAACTAAATAGGCTAGATTTAGAATAAAGTTACTGTTTGATACAATAGTCTAATGAATAAATCATAAAAACTATGTAAAAGTCAATTTCAGCTTTTACCTAGGTCTTTGAGGCGTTCAAATGCTAATGTAACATAGTATATTAATAGTTTGTTGCGTTGTATAATGGTCGAAGCACTGGTCATCGAGCAAATATCCCAGGTCTCTTTTTCAACATATATTTTATTACTTATACAATATAATTACTTTTTAAACTCTTTTTGTTAAATTACATTGTATGTTTTATAATACTTACAATTCGTTAGAATAAACTCATACTGGAATAATAATAAATTAAAAGTAACCTTTTATTTATACACTTCTATGTAATAAATATTATTGTAAAATACAATTGCTTGTTATTAATATTATTAAATAATTAATTATTTGTTATTTGAAATTCAAGAAATTATTAGTTTTAAGGCAAACGAGAATGCAATAAAATCTTGTGCTATGATGTGAAAGATTAAAATTTAAATAAATTTGTTGACTTATAAATCTTAAAAATAAATATACTGTATATAAAATTATATAAACAATTAAAATAGTATTTATTATCAAAACAAAATGATAAAAATCCACAAAATATAGTATAAAAATAAATTTGTTTAAAATTAATAATAATGTAAAATGTGATCCATTTATATATAAAATTAAATTTTAATTGAGGAATAAATTTAAACTTCATTTTCATTGTCGTCGATATTTTCAACGGTGTTTCTTCTTCTGCAGCCGCAAAGTGTATGATTAGTGAAGAGAAGTTTTTCAATCTTCTGGTGCTGTCGGACTCTTTGGCGGCTCTTCAATGAAGTGTTGATTTGAAGCGTAACCGTAAAGAAGTAAAGCTCGACAATTGTCTCCTCCACTGGTTTGCAGGTATGGGTCGCGTGTGGGCAACAACTCGTCTGATCGGAGCAGCGGTGCAATAGTGTAGCTCTCGGGAGGTATACCTTTGATGGGTCAGTAGTGTTGACGTAAACCACTTGGGTTTTGGGTGATCGACACTCAGCCTCTTCGCGAACTTTGATCCCGTGTTCAAACGCCAGCGAAGCCGAGCTCTCCAACGATGATCTTCTGTTTGCTTTAATCACGTTTTCACTCAAATTATTTAAATACATTAGAATTAAAATTAAATATAATTTCACTAAATTATTGTTAAACATTTTGGGCGTTATATTCTGTAGAAACAAAGCCATCTTTTGAAGATCTCGGTTAAAACACAACAATTTATGAGAAATATCTTCAATATTCTGTAACAAGGTAAGAAAAATGTAACATTTCAAAATATTTATTAAAAATGTTATTATATTTGTTATTATAATAATATACTTATAAATTTATTAAATTTTTGCTTTGATCGTTGTTTCTATAACTAAAAAAGTTGTCCAATAGTATGGAATTGAATTAA